AGTCAACAGAAACTGGTGACCCAACGACACGCAGTGTTACGGGATGGTGATGATGATTATAAAGTCCCTAATATCACCCTTGTAATAATCAGTTACATTAATTATTACATTATATTTCGAGCAATAGCAGCTATTGTTAGGCAATGAGTGAAGCATTTGTTTTTTATTTCTTTTCTTACTTTTTTGCTAGTCTTTTTGTTTGTTTGTTAGATGCCTTGCTAGATCACGTTCTTGTTTGTCTTTCTTGTAGCTCATGTGACAGTTTAAAAATATATAAACTTACACTTGTTCACGTACATACAGTTTACGAATACACGTACACACAGATATACAATATATAAAGGAAACATCCAAAATTAAGGAAAAATACAGTTAACTTCTTTGCTTTTTAGAATCCTTTAATAGTAAGGTATAAAACTTACTGTTTGATGTTGACTAAAAATGTAAGTTAGATATCTGGATTTATAATTATAAATTTGTCTAGATCACATGTATATTAAGTTAAAAATAAAACTAACAAATTCAGCTTGTAGCGAATGATAACGCTTGATACGGGGTTTAACGACTTCAGTCGGAAGAAGTGTTTTGCTCAATAAATTATTTTACAGCTTCATGATGTAGTAGTATTCATGTCGGGTCCCTGTTTAGGTTGGCCCATCCCTTTTTGTTTAATACCCGGATGATGTCATCTCTGTAAAAGAGAAAACAACAAATAGATCATATAATATTCAAAAGTGGAACTTCGGTGAGTGGAAACTTCAGTGAGTGGAAACTTCGGAGAGTGGAAACTTCGGTGAGTGGAACTTCAGTGAGGGAAACTTCGGAGAGTGGAAACTTCGGTGAGTGGAACTTCGGGGAGTGGAACTTCGGTGATTGGAACTTCGGTGAGTGGAACTTCAGTGAGTGGAACTTCAGTGAGTGGAACTTCCGTGAGGGGAACATCGGTGAGTGGAACTTCGGTGAGTGGAACTTCCGTGAGGGGAACATCGGTGAGTGGAACTTCCGTGAGGGGAACTTCGGTGAGTGGAACTTCGGTTATTGGAACTTCGGTGAGTAGAACTTCAGTGAGTGGAACTTCGGTGAGTGGAACTTCCGTGAGGGGAACATCGGTGAGTGGAACTTCGGTGAGTGGAACTTCCGTGAGAGGAACATCGGTGAGTGGAACTTCGGTAAGTGGAACTTCGGTGAGTGGAACTTCGGTGAGGGGAACTTCAGTGAGGGAAACTTCGGTGAGGTGAACTTCAGTGACGGAAACTTCGGTGAGTGGAACTTCGATGAGTGGAGCTTCGGTGAGTGGAACTTCAGTGAAGGGAACTTTATTGAGTGGAACTTCGGTGAGTGGAAACTTCGGTGAGTGGAACTTCAGTTGGTGGAACTTCGGTGAGTGGAACTTCCGTGAGGGGAACATCGGTGAGTGGAACTTCGGTGAGTGGAACTTCCGTAAGGGGAACATCGGTGATCGGAACTTCGGTGAGTGGAACTTCAGTGAGTGGAACTTCGGTGAGTGGAACTTCAGTGAGGGGAGCTTCGGTGAGTTGAACTTCGGTGAGTGGAACTTCAGTAAGTGGAACTTCGGTGAGTGGAACTTCAGTGAGGGGAGCTTCGGTGAGTGGAACTTCAGTGAGGGCAACTTCGGTGAGGGAAGCTTCGGTGAGGGGAGCTTCGATCAGAGAAACTTCAGTGAGTGGAACTTCGGTGAGGGGAAATTCGGTGAGTGGAACTTCAATGAGGGGAACTTCGGTGAGTGAAACTTCAGTGAGTGGAACTTCGGTGAGTGGAACTTCAGTGAGGGGAACTTCAATGAGGGGAACTTCGGTGAGTGGTAACTTCGGTGATTGGAAACTTCGGTGAGTGGAAACTTCGGTGAGGGAAGCTTCTGTGAGTGGAAACTTCGGTGAGTAGAAAACTTCGGTGAGTGGAAACTTCGGTGCTGACGTTACATGTTCGAACCTGACGACATTGCGACTTCGAGCATACACACAAAAATGATGAGACGATTACAGTTACAACAAAACCCGCAGTTGTACAAACACTTTTACTGCAGCCAAGCCGGACGTTGGATTCTAGTGTGTATCGGCGGGAAAAGTCAGCCAGGACATACCCTAAACAGTTTTTGTTTCAGCGGTGTTGGTCGCATAGTTCTCTCCTGATTAAAAACGGTTGGTAGAGCACTACTAAGGAAGCGTGTCGGTTCGGGCTTACATGACGCCCAAAGTGCGTTGGTGGGAAAGAAAATTGAAGAAACCTTCAGAAGTTACGCCAAAGAAACGGAAAATCGTCTACTTTAGAAGACTGTTGGTCACATGACTAGCAACCAACCAAGTAGCGGCATTAGAAGAAGAAATGTTTCCCTAACGTGTTAACAGATTTTTAAAAAGGTACATGGGATTTCATAGCAAAAGCGAATGGACGTCGCCTGGTGCAGCAAAGCCTTGCATATGATATCACACAACGTTTAGTTTGAGAATAGAGGTGAAGCTATACTCTGCTGCCTTCCGCTGGCTTGAGAATCAGCTGTACACACATGTCGTGATTGTAATTGACTCACAGAGCATGTTGAGAAAGATGAAAACATGCAAGCATCCCCTCAGAGATCCCTGGTTGTTAGCATCCTATGGATATTTACAAGTCAAAATCTGGTCATGTCCTTGCAGCTTAAATTCGCCTCCTGACATGACTAATCGTTGTAAGAGACTCAGTATTCGAAATGTCGAGTACGCGACAAGTGCCAATGGACCACGTGTAACGATGTCAATAATACACAGTAAATACGAAAAAAATACTCTTCGCTGATTTCTTTTTCTTCCACTGACACATCTCGTACTAGTTTTGGCCCATGACAGCTGATAATGCATATTGATCGAAACAAGACAACAGCATTCTATGCTCTGTCTCTTCCCCTGTCTTGCCTCCTAGTTCATCTGCCAGTTAAGGCTATCAGCTGATACTGTCCTGTCGTAACAGTATGTTAGGGTTGAATTTCCTCGTCCTATAAGAGGTAAGGCTAGTTTACACCCAAGTGGAAGCCTCTTCACAGACTCGTTGGATCAATGATGGATGTCAGATTTGGTATGATTGGTCGAACATTCGTTGTTAACACGTACAGTATTAACAGCTTCTGCTATACGGTAGCTCCCTAATTGCATTCCATGGTTCCCTTGGATTTCGTAGACGGTACGAAACCCTCACGTAGTTTGAAAAGCCTAAAAACCATCATCATAAAAAACAGTTTACATCACATTGGGAACTGGTATACTCAGGAAACAGTATCTACATAATTTGGTGTGGACTGATCTCCTCACTTGCTCTAACTACAACACTAAGGTAAACTCAGTAGCACCACGTGAAGTTTGCACAAACCTCAGAACTGAGGTATCAACCAAGATTTTACCTGTACTGCGCCACGTGCAGCTTGTACCAACTTTAGAACAGAGGTATCGACCTAGATTTTACATGTACAGCACCATGTAAACCTTGTACAAACCTCAGAACAGAGGTAGCAACCGAGATTTTACTTGTGCCCTCGATACGTGAAGCTTGTACAAACCTCAGAACAGAGGTATCAACCCAGATTGTACCTGTACAGCACCACATTAAGCTTGTACAAACCTCAGAACAGAGGCAGCAACCCTTCTTCCACTTGCGTCAATTTATCTTTAAAACAAACTTCACCAGAATACTTTCCGGAAAAACAGAACTAGTTTAAAAGTGAATTAGTTTACCATGGTATCCAAAGAAACCCCCTGCTCTGAGACATCAACCAGCACTAAACACTGCAAACAGAACTAAGAAGTTGCTGACTATAAATATCTTACAATAGGGGATACAAAAAAAATTAGGCAACTGACCACGAATAATAGAAACACACACACACGTACAAAAGCAACTATGTATTATGTTACACTTAATACCACAGTCCAGACTCCATAGAATTAAAAGACTGGTCAAATAAATTAGAGAACCTATTTACCAACCAAACATACTGTTACAGGATTAACTTTAGCCATATTCAGACACTTTGAAATCAAGGAATTTCGCTTCTACCATACATAGAATGAAAAAAATCCCAGACTTCTAGGATAAAATCTGTGTGCAAGTAGGACATGTAAAATACGGCTACTTTTGTCGATTTTTTGAAACAGGATGTCATAGACCGTGTTGCATGGAGAAGAATATCAGGGAAGGACTTTGAGGGAGGGGGGTGGGGGTGGGGAGGGGGGCTGAAAATAATTGCAGAAAGATCATGAGCTGACTGAAGTCATCAGTTCTCGTTATGCGTAGTGGCACATGAGGCTTCAAATAAGACTGTCCCTGCTTTCCTGTCCTGTGCCATCTTCAGTGCAGTTTTCCATGTCAAAGTTGCAGCACTCACGTCACTGAGTTCGTCTCCATGTTGTTTTTGGGCGCCCCTGTTTTCTCTTTCCCTCTGGTGTCCATGTGAGAGCTGTTTTGGCAGGCATATCAGGATTCATTCTCATAACGTGGCCAAGCCATTTCCATCTTCTCTTGGTTATCATACTGTCTAGAGTTTCTTGGTTTGTGACTTGAAGTAGTTTAGTGTTTGAGATTGTATCTGGCCAGAAAATTTTGATAATTCTACGTAAACATTTGTGGTGGTAGGTGGACAGCTTGTGTGCATCCTTTTTGGTCATTCTCCAGCATTCCGCTCCATAAAGAAGAACTGTAACGGTAACGTTTATCGCAATCGTCTTGAAAGACGGAGAATTGTTAACAATAAATTATAAACTGAAAGATTTGACCTTTTAGCTTATAATCGATCATTTATATATTTTTAACTCTCCACACCCATACTTTCTAAAGGTATATATATTTTCTATCCATAATTCCAATTTCGTCTACGTGTGCGTGTATGTGTAAGTATATCTGTCGTTCTATTTGATCAATCTGTCAATTACAAACACACAGCAACATTTAAATATTAAAAAAAAAAACGTAAACAGACTGACTAAATATACAAGAGAATGATAGAAAATACTGACCACGTTCTGTCAGTGAAGTGATGACAACATTTATACGTCCAAGAGTGTCATTGATGTTCTCCAGTCTGCTCTTGAGCTCCTCCAGACCCTCAGTTATTCTGTTCAGTTCCACATCTTTCGCATAAATAAACAAGTCGAGTATGAAAACGATTATTTTTTTTTTACCTCAGTGGCACTTTGGCCAACTCATACTAGGCTCATCCTTTGTAGCCCAATCAGCACTCGATGGTGTCAACATCACACCGGCCTCCTTTACTTCTCAGGACATTACCTGGTACACCCATTTTAGTCTGTGTAGACACATTTTAGAAAAATATTTCGCGCATTGTGGATTCGTTAGCAGAATCTTTTGACCTGCAAGCAGGGGTCCAACCACTACCCTATTACTTTCTTTCTAAATAAAACAGCCAACTATCTATACATTTCAACAACAGTTGGGCCAAACTGGCAATAACTGCTGTTTTTTTTTTTACACGTACACGTAACGTTAACCTCCCCTTTAGAGAGTGCTGCAACCTATGTCACAAGCGTTCTCTTTCTCGGAATGAAAACGTAAATGCAAGACAACTCAGAAAGCAAACAATAGAGAGGGGCATCACCTCGTGTCATGATGTTGATCCGTTGATCAAACCTCAAACCTCAAACACATTGAATGCTTTTTGGTCTTTACAAATATATCTAGCACCATATGTCCGGTGTTGAAAAGGATCCTTAATGGCATTTACAGTTGTATAAGGAATTAATAAACTCCCCATAAAGTTTTCATGGTTCCACAATTTTGTGTGTGTAAATGTATACTCACTGTCCGTTAACAAGCACACGGTAAATGGTAACCATATATGGGTTGGTTAAAATCTGATATGTTGGACTTAAGGCGAAGATATAACATTCTAGCTGTAAACGACACACAAAATGACGATCCCCTTTCTGAGGCTAGGAATAGTAGCAAACAAAGGAGGAGGAGGGACAAAAAGATAACGAATAAGAAAAAAGGGAACAACAACGAGACGAAGATGATGATGATGAAGATAATGAGGATGAAGAAGAAGAAGAAGCAGAAAGAAGAAGAAGAAGAAGAAGAAGAAGAAGAAGAAGAAGAAGAAGAAGAAGAAGAAGAAGAAGAAGAAGAAGAAGAAGAAGAAGAAGAAGAAGAAGAAGAAGAAGAAGAAGAAGAAGAAAAAGAAAAAAGAAGAAGAAGAAGAAGAGGCAGAGGAGGAGGAAGAGGAGGAGGAGGAAGAGCTGTAAATAACCCATATGCACCTGAAGGCTGTGAGGGTGTTTCAGCCGTCTCAATGTCCTCAGTCAGTGTTTTCTCTTCTGTCGGTGTGTCCCTCACTGGTGTTACATCTGCTTCTGTGATGTTCTCAACAGTTCTCACTTCTCCATAGGATTCTACTGCTGGTCTGATCTCTGTGTCCAGAGCTATGTAAGTAAAGTTGTGGATACTGATGTAAAATAACTTAGTACGTTTGAGTTTTTTTATACACAATAATGTAGATTGGTGCACAGAGTTAGGAAATAAATTGTAAGGATGATGCCTTAGTTAGATCTTACAATATTCACCAGCTAAATATACACATAATGCCTGTCACTACCTATAGTTTAAAAAAATGAAAAGGTCTTCAGTGCTGGCCAAATCCATGCATTTAATGCTCAAATCGGTTGCCAGACATATCTACACAGACAGTTCGTGTTATAACTGCAGTTTATTGCACACGCAATACTACACAAGACAACACCAGTTCTATGGCAACATACCAACTGCCTCGGTGCATTGAGAGAGCAGAGCAAAGTGTGTTGGCTTTCACGAATAGTCATCATCGATTTCCATTTCTGCCGTTAAGCATAATGGGGAGGAACTGTCTACGAGCCATTGCTAGATTGGCGGCAATGGTTACTATCATTAGATTGGCGGCAATGGTTACTATCATTTCGTGAAAATTTAGAGCATCTTTAATGTCATCAGTCAGTTTTCTCATAGGGCGACCTCTTGCTTTCACATACGATATTTTCATGTGTAGTGCCTGGTAGTCGTTCTGGCTGGGTTCTCACTAAATCACCAAAACATTTGATCTTCTGTCTTTCAAAGAATTGGCTGTGTGGTGTTTTTCCCACAGTCTGTCTGATAATATCATTTCCAACTTTGTCTTGGATGGTTAAGTTGGCGGCTTTTCTCATGCATCTAATTTAGCAGGTGGTAATTTTACGTAGGTTAGCATTTGATAGTGTCAAAATCTCAATACACGAATAGTAACTATAGTACTAATAAATATTTCTAACTGTTTAAAATAATTTGCAGTAACAGTATTTATCTAAAGAGTTGACTAATTGGGAGCTTCCTTCAAAGTCGAAGTGCATCTGCCTGAGAGGTAAGAAGAAACCTGCATACAAATGAGTCTGTTCTGTTTAAAGGATGCGAACGAAACACTCGGGTTCTGGAACAATCCTGCAGTCTAGAAGTGGCTAAACAACCAGAACTTTTAGCCAGATTTTACAACTG